TGCCTTTGCCTTTTCCTTCCCGCCCTTTGTTCTCCCTTTGTCATCTTCACTGCCTCGCTCTCGTGCCTTGTCTTTGGTTGCTAAGCAGCCCTTCTAGTATATAAGGACCCCTTAGGCACTCCCTAGTCCCCATCTCGACCTCTTGGTCATTGGGACTAGGTGAGTGACCATAGCGTTGTATCTCCCTCCAATTGCTAATGTATAACTTGGTCATTGGGACTAGTCTGTCGCTGCCTGCGTGAAGACTAGCTTTCGTAGGTCTCGTGCCTTCGTGCCGACCTCCGCTCTACCCTCGTCGAGTTTTCTGTCACGTTTATCACTCTCCCTCTCTCTTTCCCTTTTCGGCTCCTTGCCGCTCGCCTACGGGGTCGTCGCCGAACGTCGACCCGAGTCTACGCGCCTAGTCGCCGCGACAAGTAGTACAGCCTCGGTTAATGCAGTAACCGGCTGTGCCGTTCCATATCTTGTGACGGCTGTGTTAGGCAAGCTGTGTAAACCAGCGCCTGTTCAACAAAAGGGAGGGGAATGGGCGGCAAAAAGGGGCGTCTGTCCAACGTCCGTGACAACCTGTCTAGACCGTTCTGGAGTAGTATGGATTGTCCTAGACAGTACCAGAAGAGTCTGGAAGCATAGCTATAGTACACGAGCAGAGAGTCCCAAAAATGGTAACATACTACATAAGCGACTACAGCTAAGCGCTAGAAGACGCATAGCCTCGTGTAGTCCGGACCGGATAAGTCCAAGTTCAACAGTGAATGCTGATAGAGGAAGTGACCAGAGATCCAGAGCGCAGGGCTCACAACCTGTTGGCAGCAGTGGTGTGATCTGGTCGATGATGGCGAATTGGGCGCAGATAGCGAGTGCAGAGAGCGAATGATAGAGTTAAGGAAGAGCGAGAGAGAGAGAGGCATAGACACATAGACAAGAGGTTCAGGGCACCAAACTGGCACTCAGGGCTCTCCAGGCCCAGACAGAACAAAGCCCCACCCAGGCCTCAAACACAAACCGAAGAGGCTCGTCGCCATACGGACTAAAGAGCAGGTAGGTACATGATGAACTGGCAGTACCGATGTGCTATTTGTATGTATTTGGTCACTCGGCGATGGCCGGATGGCAAACTCCAACAGCGGAGAGTGATGCGAGGCGAGCTGTTACAGAGTCCTGAAGGAGTATTGTGCTGTTGATATGGATGCTAGCGAGGTTGCCCATTCTGACCACCGCGTTCGGAATATGTGGCAGGAGGTTCCTGAACGGCGCTTGCTGAGGATTCATGGGCCCAACGTCTTGCTGCACCAAAGTCAGCCTAAACCTGAATCTATCCCAGAACCATCCAGGACATACCGAGAAGGAGAGCGTCTGTAGCACGAGTCTCCGCAGGTGAGGAGTCAACAATAGCCTAGCGTATTGTGGGGCGACCCACAAATCTTTGAAGATCACCGAGCAGACTTGGTTTGGGAACAGAGTACCAGGAGCATTTGCATGGTGGATAGGATAGTCAAGCACAGGCTTCAAGATGTATTCCGGATGAAGGAGAGGCCTGATCCTGGTACGCAGTTCTAATATGATTACACTGACAGATTGTATTCTGGTAACGTATGGATCTGGTTTGATCCAATCCACAGCGTGGAGATCGCCCGTCAAGTACTGTGTATGCGAATAACATTAGCATTGAAAGCACTGAAAAGTTCCGAGAGTACATGTTGAACAATGAAAAGTTGGTCAGACCGGGGATTGAACCTGGGTCATCCCATATGCACTGGGAGGTGTTACCACTACACCATCCAACCGATACTAGAGTGTGAATTCTACAGATTCCAACACTCCCCCTGAAGTCACACTCTGGTGATCAATCAAGGAACCAACTTTTCCAAATGAAGTTACCCTCAGGCACATTTCCCGAGGCGGGGGTTCTCTGACCCTGCTCCCTTCGAAGCGTCACACAGGGCTCATAACCTGTTGAACAATGAAAAGTTGGTCAGACCGGGGATTGAACCTGGGTCATCCCATATGCGCTGGGAGGTGTTACCACTACACCATCCAACCGATACTAGAGTGTGAATTCTACAG